GCTCAGCTCTGTTCCAGTGTCCAGTAGGAATACCTTAGGGTGTGGTACCTCGATCTTGAATCAAGGTGAATCTCCAGTAGCTGGCTTTGTGCTTGATACTAAATAGATTTCTCAAAAAGCGTTTGCAGAAGATCCTATAAGAATTAGGATCCCAGCTATAATATTTGAGTCTAACAGAAAAATAGAGCCAGTTATAGAGGTAAAAGGAGAGGTGAGGGCAGAATCAAAGCTGTTTGGGCTTAAACAGTTTGCTCTTTCAGGTTGCTCTCTGGAGATGGCTGAGAAGACCAGACTTCTTAGTCCTTGGGTTCTCCAGTCCAATGCCAGAAGATCCCAAAATAGGAGAGAGGCAGCAGTTTCCTCTTGTGCTACCGTTCACCTCACCAATGTTTGGGTCACAGGCTCAAGTTCCTGGAGTGTCCCAGACTCCAAAGACATACTCACATATATCCATTCATTCACACTTCCCTCTCTGTTTCTCTGGGTCACAATCACACACACCTTCCTTATATCCTCCCACACACACATGAACAGTGAGCCACCTTCTGGGGCAAGGGAATCCTAGGCACTCAGAAGCCATGTAGTGAGGGGGGGTGAGTCCAAGAGGAAAGTTGGAAGGAGGAGAAGGAGACCTCTACAGTGTGGGGGCTTGGGAAAACACCAAAACTACTTGCCCAAAAGAGGAGGTGTCTCTGAGATTCACTCCAGGTTCAGCTTTTGCTTCAAGAGTGGGAAGAAGGGGCTAGGGATTTTGATAAATCCCTGGAAAATAGCCAGAGGGTTGGTTGGGATGGGCCCCCTGTAGAATGCACAGTCAGGATGGTCTTCCAGGTTGGCATCTGGTGGCCCTCCTCTAGATTTGAGAGCCTTCTCTATCTGCATCCCTTTCCAGTGGGTGAAAAGCCCTCAGGGCCAAGAGCATGTGCCACCTGGAACCTCTGACCCTTTCCTTGATTCTAACTTAGACCCTGTGTATCCTGACAGTCTCCTGGGCCTGAGAGACCCATTCCCAGGGTCCATCTTCCCAAGGACAGGCCTTGGCTTGGACTCCAGAAAATCAAAAGAGAACATGTTTGCAGAAATGTTCGGTGTAGACTGCTCCAGGATCAACAAACTGAGTCCCATAAGGTACCTGAACACTTCTCTTCATGGTATAGGAGGGAGCCAGGTCTAGGTAGAGACATGAGGCTGTCATCTTCACAAGTCCTCTTGTGAATTTCAGGAGCCTGGCAACTTGTTTTGGAGAAAAAGGGTGAAGCCAGGCAGGAAGGAAGGCTTAAGCCAGTACTCCTCTTTGACTCCAATTCTTCTTAAGACCCAAAAGTCATTTGCATGACGCTCATGGGAAACACTCCCAGAGCCACCAAGGAGGAGAGGTGGAGTTGCACTGGTGAAGGGTTTCACACAGGAGCACTCCTCCTGTGACAGAGCAGACTATGAGCTAGGACAGGCGGTTCTTTTGTTTGCAGAGGAGTGGCCAGGATACAGGTAAAAGAGGAATGAAACTCTGTGACTGAGAAGTTTCTGGAGCAAGGCAAGGCCAATAGAACTGGAAGTTGTTCCAATCACAGTCCCAGAATGACTGCACAAGTTCCAGCTGGACCCTCAATGAATGTCCTGCAATTGTGTTTCCTGTAGAAACTGAATGCCTTTTCTGAGCATAAGTAAATTGTGTACAGATGCACAAATGTTGTTTATCTCATAATAGTGACTGATAGGGATTGAGGGTAGAAAGAAAATATTATGAACTATTTTACAGGTACACAAATGTTTATCCCATAATAGTGACTTATAGGGATTGAAGGGAAAAAGAAATTATTATGAAGTATTTCACACATTCAAAAAAGTTTTAGTACTATTAAAACAAAAATCACATTAAATCAATAATAGGAGCTAATTAAAGTTTATTTAATATACAAATTGCAAATCAGGGTACCATTTCTAATATGGAATAAAATATGTCTCAGAGAGGAAAGAACTTCCAAAGATTCTTATATTCCATCTTATCAACATTGGCATGAGAACAGCCTGGATAAAACAATTTGTGGTCAGGAATGATTTCATACAGCATTGTGTGGAAGGACAATTAAAATAATTACTGATTCACCCTAAAACATAGTTCTAATCTGAACATTAGAGTCTCTGCTTCTTGAAATTACACATAGAAATTCTTTGAAAGAACACAATGTGTAAAGCTATATGATATTTTCTCATTTATCTAGATCACTGTTTGACACAAAGGTGATTTTAGAAAACCAGTTTCTTCAAGCCTCAATTTTCAAAAGGACCATCTCAGGGCAATGGCATGGGTGGGTTACCTCAACTCCATGGACCTCAAAACTCTGGATTCCACAAGAATGAAAACTTGTTACTTCTAGCATCACAAACACAAACATAATCCTCCATATCCAGTTTTGGGATAAAACAGTAGTTAGAGTTGAAGAGCCCTGTGTACATGTCTTGGATCACAATGTGCTCCCCCTTCAAGTACTGGGGCTTGTCATTTGTGTACAAGACTCCGTATTTATTTTATACATATGATTCCAACCTAATATACGAAAGATACACAAGCATATCATTTTGCACTTTAGAAAACTTTTTTGTAAGTGGTATATTGTTGTTGTTGTTGTTGTTGTATGCTGTGGAGTCAGTACCAACTCATAGAGACCCTGTACAGGGTTTCCAAGGCTGTAAATCTTTACGGGAGCAGAAAGCCTCATCTTTCTCCCATGGAACAGCTGGTAGTTTCGAAC